AATTTCAGGCCTCCTTTAGTATGTGAGAAATTTTTTTGATAGAATAAGAGAAGAGAGAGAGAGACATGGACTAAGCTTTAAAAATGTGTTTAGTGTATTAAAAAAAATAGAATCCTAAAATCATTTTTTGCTTGTATGCGTACTTTGATTATAGGATAAAAGGTTTAGGATACCAAAAGACCAAAAGAGTCCCTCTGTTCTTTAATATAAGATGAATTACAACATGTCATTTTGTCTTTATTTATCAGTAAAACTATAAATTTCTGAAATATTTATCATTTTTTTTCAAATGTCCCTTATAAAGTCAATAAACAAATTTGTTTAATTAATTACAAGAATAATTTTAGTCTAAGTTTTTATTTTAGATGTACTCTCTTTGTTTCAAAAATGTAAGTCATTTTAACCAAATTTTACCCCCAAAAAATAGTTATTTACTTTTAAACTAATCTTATCTTTATATTTACCTCTATTAAACATTCTACAATAAATATAAAATCATTCATCAATAGGGTTACTTTTGAAAAAAAAAACAATGATTACATCTCAAAAAACTAAAAATGTCTTATATTTTTTAACATTCAACTATTCAAAAAATGTCTTATATTTGTTAAGTGAAGGAATAATTATTATACTTAATTAGTTTTCTTTAACTGCATGAATTCATTATTTTCTCCTGTATTTGAAAAATGAGAGAGTACCTTGACTAAAATAATGTAAAATCAATTTTTCTTTAACCCCCCCCCCCCCCCAGTGAGACAGGACAATCTTCTTCATTAGTGATGACCTTTTTCAACAATAATGGCAACAAGGTGACAAGCTTCGTCGATCAGTAGCCAAGGTGATTGGTGAGGGCATCCAACAAACAACAATGGTGAGGGCCTCTAGAATGATTTACGTGATTAACAACATCAGTGGACCAAGCTTACTCGGATCTAGTGCGTGTTCGTGCTGGACTAAACTAGACCACACGTTTTGTCTAGCTTGATATAAAATTAGACCAAACCTTGGATGGATCGGTTATAAATCAACTCAGTTCAATCTGATCTTTATGCAACCTTAGTATTGAGAATGAAGCTCAATTGAGAACAATAAAGATGATGGATGAATTTGGGAAGCTGTTCTGACGTTGGAGTCCTTGGCCAGTGTGAAGAACTCTAAAAATTTAAGAAAAATTACTCATTTGGTACATGTAATTTTGATCAAATTTTAGTTTAGTTTTTAAACTTTAACTCATTATAATTAAATTCTTATGGTTTTAAGTCGGTTCTAATTTAGTCTTTGAATTTTACTTTTTACAACTCAATCCCTATATTTTTAACTATTTAAATATTGATCCATATATTTTTAAAAAAATAAAAGTATAAAAAAATAAAAATATTTTAAAATTCTAGTATCTATGATATTTATAAAGGTTAAAAGGGTTTATTGATTGAAAATATTAGTAATAAATTTAACACAATTTTAATCTTTTTAATTTTTTTTTTAAGATATAAGGATCAATATTTAAATTATTAAAATATAAGAACTAAGTTGCTAGAGTTAAAGTTTAAATATTAAATTATAATCGATTTAAAACTTCAAAAACTAAGTTACAATGAGTCAAATTCAAGAACTAAGTTATAATTAAATTAAAATTATAAGGATTGAATGATTAATTTTTTTCAAAATTAATATCTAAGAGGGAGGGCATGTTAATCACTATAAAAATAGGGAAGAAGAGAGTATTCAAGTAAAAAATGCATTCTCAAGAAGAAACAATATTCCATAAACCCTTTTATTTATTTTGTTGAAACTTGAAGGAAGGGAGAAAAGATAAAATTTAATAAATTCTTCTTTCACCTTGACCTTCCCTCCAAGTTGGAAGATTTGGAAAAATTTCCCCTTTCCTTTGCTATAATGCATCTACGTCTCTTTCCTTACCTACTATTAATTAAAGTTTATTCCCTTTGCTTCCTTATCAAGCTAAGGAAAATTTATAAATTCCCTCTCCCATTCTCAGTTGGAAACCTAGATCATGTGAGTTATTGATTCACACATGTAATCATCAATATAATTATTATTCATATTATTAATGTTAATATAAACTATATATATATAGATATTCCATTAAAAAGTATGAGATATTTCTAATCAAATTACACACCCCAATAAGTACTCTTTTTGTTTTTTTTATAGGAAAAATTATTACTCTTAGCTTGTTTTTTTTACATAAGCAAAATTACATTTTTTAATAGACATTTATTGTAACTTTCTAAATTACCCTTAATAATTTTATCATTCATAATCATAAGGAATAATTGATGAAGGCTTGATTAACACAATTAATAAAGGATATTGTAGTTTAATTTTTTTTTATCACACATAATTAGTATAATTAATCAATTTCTTAAACTACTCTCTCCGTCCCTATATATAAGATATTTTTAATTGAATCTCGTATATCAATAAAGATTTGTTATTTAATTAAACTCATATAAAAACACAATAATTTTTTAATTTTACCCCTAATAATATCATAATGATAATAAGAAAAGCATACAATTAATGATCTATTTCATTTTTCAAGACAAGGTTAAAATTATTTAATTATTCAAAAATATCATTGCCACCTCTTCTATTTAGGAACAAAATAAGCTTCTAAAAAGCACCTTGTATATAAGGATGGAGGGAGTATGTGATATGATTTTTTTCTCCTACAAATAAAAATGGAGGGAGTAAGTTATCTGTCTTTAAAAATTAATACCATCTTTTTATATTTATTCTTATTTAATACTCCCTTAGTTCTAAATATAAGACACTTTTAATTAAAATATCGCATTCCAATAAACCTTATTAAATACACTTAATAATTTTATCTTTTTAAACAACAATACACATAATTTAATATATGAAAAGAGAATAAATGAAAATTAATTATGGAGAGATAAAAGGCAATATTAAAATTAATACATTTAATGAAACCTTACTATATTTTAAATGTCTTATACTTTAAAACCAAAAAAATTCTTTAAAAATATCCTATATTTAGGACGGAGGGAGTATGATATTTTGCTTGAATGTGAAGGGTCAGTTGATTCATTTATTAAGGATTTTTTCTGAAAAAAAAAACTCATCAATCCCATGTTAAAAAATTACAAATGCTTTATATTTTAAAATATTTTAAAACATTTAATTAGGACGGAGGGAATATGATATTTTGTTTGAATGTGAAGGGTTAGTTAATTCATTTATTGAGGATATTTAAAAAAAAAACTCATCAATCACACATTAAAAAATTACAAATGCTTTATGTTTTAAAACATTTAACTTTAAAAATACTCAATATTTTTCAAGGGAGGGAGTAGATATATAGCACATTCCACGTTACTAACAAGTTTGTGAAGCTCATCCGACCCCTAGTTGTCCATGTAATGCGCAGGGTTCAAACTTTGAATGCTTCACATTAATTATGATATCACAATCATTAAAAATATTTGGGATAATATAACTTTTAATTCCTTGTGTCAGAAGAGTTATCAGTTTGGTTCCTAAATTTAATTTATATCATTTCAATCTTTAATATTTCATGAACTTATCTAGGCAGTCTCTAATTTATGAGAGAAATTAACATCGTTAAAAAAGCAATACTTATATATTTAGTTTTGTATGCTTAATATATTGTTATTCAATTAAATTAAAACAAATAAATTTTAATATGTTAATATTATTAACAAGTTCCTAAATGCCTTGATTTAATTGAAAACTAGCAAATTAAGTATTTAAGATTAAGTATATAAATCTTTCCTGTGGCTAAATTACGCTAACATGACTAGTAATGTGGGGAAGTAAGATGCTAACTTGGACAAGAAAAAAAAAAACCCACATAAATTAAATTAGGAATTATAAAATATTAAAAATCAATAATATTAAATTTTGATAACAAATTATTCTTTTTACTCTTCAATGAATGTTAGAAAGAGAAAATATATTGTTAAATTATATATAACTTCTTAAATTTTTTAAAAAAGTTGATGAGTTTTAAGGTTTTTTTTATTTCTTGTGAAATATGTTGAAAATAATTTATAAATAAAACTAAAGAAGTATAAATTAAACTTGAGGGATTAAATTAATAACTTTTCAAATATAATGGACTAAAAAGTTATATCATCCCAAAATATTCGATACAAAATATGAAATTTATTAATAGAAACACCATTAACAAATTGCCAGATTATTTTTAAAATTTTGTGAAATGGAAAGAATATTTAACTTGATATTTGATATAAAATATTATATTCGTAATAAATTAAATATTATGTGAAAACTTGCAATAATTTATGACCGAAGCCTACTTCATTGCATCTAGCTGAAGCTTAATGGCAGATTTCATCTTCTTCATGATTTATTTTACCTTCAATTTTTGTATGTGGCACCTGACTTTTGCTTCTCCTTTGTGATTTTTGAATATTGCATTTAATTTCTAGTTTGTAGATTGTTGATGCCTATGACTTGTTTATTGTTTACCTCTTTGTTCTTCAATTTCATGGTTACAAGGAGTGGTCACTCCTTCTGCTTAGGTTAAAGCAATTTTTTTTAAACGAAAATATTTTAGACTTTTCATATTCTTAACATTAATATTGAATAAAAATAATTTTTCAGTTCCATAAACTTATTAAAATTAAAAATATTTTTAAACCTCATATTCCTCTCCATCTTCATTTTTAAATCCATTTCGTTTCTATTAAAATCATTTTTAACGTGCCAAACCTGGCTCCTCAAACAAGAGAGTTTAATTTCTAACTGAGAATGTCAAGTCTAAACAGTCAACGGCTTTTTTCTTTGCTAAAAAAATTATATTTTGGCCTAAAACATTCAAAATTTATCACATACATTCACATTCATGTGCACTATGGTATTTCTGTTTTTTTCTCTTCACAATATATAAAAAGTATTTTGACCAACCGTTTCTTCATTTTTGAAAATCTGTATGTTGGCTTTGCCGCCGATTTCTTCATACGAGTCGTGACTCTGCTCAGAAGAAGCCTTCGCGGGAAAAACCATCGCCGGCTCATAGGGCTTTGCTTCTACTTTTTTTTTTTCTTCTTCGCATTGCTTTCTCCAAGATTTAGAAACTTTCAAGTTCCCGATCTGCATTCTGATGTCTTTCAAATTCTGCATATGTATTGGTATTGCATCCTTAATCCTATATTTCTCTTTAATGTCAAAATTTGCTTCATCGTAATTTTCTCTTCCATGAGCTTCTTAGTCTTGAATTTGAGGCGGAAAAAACGAGTTTTAAACCTTGATATGGTTTTTGGGATTCTCTTTTAGAATGTGGAAGATGAATCGGTTGATTTTGCAGTTTTGTTAGATTATGCTCGTCCAAACTAGAAGAAGAGCCTGCTTATCGATCTTAGTTGTTAGAATCTGGTTTTAGGCAAGGTAACTGAAGTTACTTGAAGCGACGAAGGCAGAAAAAGCACCGAGAGTTACGGTAAGTAAGTATTCGTAGAAGGCCTTGCTGTTATTTGCATCACTTCTTAATAAGATTAGAGAGAAAAATCAGAAAATTTTATGATGCGAGAACATTATCAGTATTTGCTTCTGGCGGATACTAGCAAAATTTCAATTGTCAAGGAATTAACTGAAGTTGCATGCCTCTGAATTTCTGAACTGCAAGAGGTATATTACTAAGAATTTTCACCGTCGTTAATCAAGAGAGAAGATAACTTACAATATCATTAAATCCAATTTTCGGCTCTGATTTTCTTAAAAAAATATTTCGATAATCATAAATGACAATGAGGTTTGAGGTTTTTCTCCATTACATCATACATAATGGTTTGAAATTTCGTTTTTTCCGCAAAAAATATTGTTCTATTCCCCCCACCCCAAGAATTTTAAATAACAACGACGAATACATTCTTTGTTCTACTATAACGGTTTAAGGATGCAATTTAATTATATACATTCCTTGTTTGCTCTTTTTTACCTGTAGTCTTGTAAACCCGGAGGGGTTTACACTTTACAGTCCAGAGAGTTTGAGTCGTGAGGTAGTGTGTCCATAACAGGTAATAATGCATTTCCATCAGCACTTTTTTAAGTTGCAGAGTTTATGTATGCAGTGTATCTTGGGTTTTGTGCTATGAATCAGTTCATTCTCAGCTAAAGCTGTCCTGGAATCCTATTGGTTAATAGCACATTTTATCAATCAGACACCTAATCATGCGGGGCTTAAATCCAGGTCAATCTGATGGTCATATTAGTTCTTGAAGTGCATTGATGCATTGTTTTGATTTGCAGGTGTCTTGACCCATGTAAAGTTAGTATTTGACAGCTCAAATGAGATGCAATGCATGCTGGAGAGAATTAGAAGGGCGTGCCATTTCCACAACATGTGGTCACCTTTTGTGTATCCAGATTCCTGGAATTATGTCATTTGATTCCTCCTTTTTATTTGATCATCATGCTTATAATATCAAATTGGATTATTTGTTCTGTATGTTCTGTTTTTGTGGTCATTAGTTGATATGTATATTCCTTAACACTTTAAAAAGGCACAGATGATGCTAATAAAATATTAAGTAATGATGGAGTATGCCCAATCTGTGATCAAGTGCTTTCAAAGAGGTACGAGGTTGATTGATATCTGCGGAATAATTCCTGGCGAAAGGGAGGACATGATTTTGAGATTGTTGTGATATTATCCTGAATAAAATGGTTGTCTGATGGTACTAATTATCTGTCAACAACCGATTATCAGAACTTATATTTACGCTAAAATATGATGTTCCTTTAACTTGTAATTTATTTTGGGTTGTTACTCTTGATCCACGTGATATGAATACCTATTGAAATGGACATTTAGTAGAACCAATTATTAGTCCATTATTTATAGTCATAGCTGCGCTGTAATATAGTTATTTTTGCCGGCTGACGACTTACTCTTTGCTATTTTCTATGTTTGTTCTCTTATCAGTCACATGAAACCTATGGATATCAGTCCTGGTGATGAATGGATAAATGTAAGTAAGAATTCTATTGAACTAGAATATAGGGTCTGTACTTTGCACAAAATTTAATAAAAGCTACGTCATTCCTACCTTGTGAATAGTGCAGCATCCCGCAAGTTTTAGGTAAATAGACAGATATTGTTGTCTTGACTATATGTATCTAACATATTCTTTCAGCTTTTATATTTTATTTTATTTTATAATTGTAGTTTGATGAATTCCTTTCACTGCAACTCTAGCTTTCTTCATTTCCCATTAACATTGCTCCTTGTACTTGTCCCGTTTACTGCTGCAGATGGCCATGGCGGGAGTATCTCCGCAGATATGTATCCTTTATTGCCCATTGATGAGAGGGACCTGTACAGAAAATAGGGAATAGAATGTCATCCTAGTTGTAGCTATGTACCTCTGATGGACTCAGAACAAAGTAGATTCGAAGCAATTTTTGAAAACTCATTCAAAAGATTGAGATTATACCAGGCCATGTGTTTTCCCTTGAACAAAGCCAGTGTTCAAGACTTGTTACAGAAGCGTGATGTTTTACATTGGGCAAAAGGAACTGGAGATGCAGTATAAAATGAACAGGATTGTAGCTCAATGCCGGCAGAAATGTGAGATGCTGCACCAGAGAGCTGAGATGATGCAAGAAAAGTTTACAGAAAAGCTAGAACGGGTGCATAATGCCTACCAAAAAATGGCCAAGAGGTGTCAGATGATGGAACAGGAAATTGAGACCTTATCCAAGGACAAGCAAGAGCTACAGGAAAAATTTGCTGAAAAATCCAGGTCCGTGTCCTTTTTTATGGCCTAATTAAACCCGATGATCTGGATCATGATGCCTAAAATTTGTTTCAATTCCAGGCAGAAGAGAAAATTAGATGAAATGTATGATCAATTGAGGAGTGAGTATGAGTCAGTGAAACGATCTGCCATACAGCCTGCAAGCAACTTCTATTCCAGGAATGAGACTGATTTGTTCTCCAACCCTCCCAACATAATGGATGAGAGAGAAACTGGCAGGAAAGGTAGCCTTTCTTTTTCTTTCACCCATAGAACAATGCTACTTGGCATCAATAATTTGAGATATGCTTACATATTCAGTTAGCGTTATGATCAGTTGAATTGTCTGTCATTCGAATAACGTAATGACACAGTATAAATATGTGACCTCTTTTCTGCTTAGATATTTCCAAAACTAGGTAACTTACTTTGTGCAGGTTGGCCGGTCACCACACCGGAAACTCCAGGGCCCAGAGAGGACGTATGGCCGGCAAGACAGAATAGCAATAACTCGGGTCACTTCGATCTCTCGGTTGGTTCACCAGCAAAGCAAGCAGTTCTTGTGGGAGATACAGGGAATAGAAGGGTTGGAGGAACTCATCCTGTTTACGGGGTTGGTGCTAATAGTAACCCGTCAATGACTTTAAGGAACATGATACTGTCTCCAATCAAACGGCCTCAGCTTTCTCGTAACCGCACCCAATTATTCACGTAAGTCGTCACCTCATGTCTGCTAATTCTTCTATATTTAGCAAGTAAATGAATTATGCAAAATAAAGAGAAAAAGCACACTTGGTGAAAAGAGTAAAAATAAGCCGACACAGTTTCACTTTGTTGTGTCACTTTCTATCGTAAATGTACGATATATTACTATATTAGGATTTCAATCCTAATTTTCTCTGCCATGTACTCTATCTATATTCATGAATCTTGGTGTTTCAGGCTGTAGGCTCAGAGGAGGCTAATGTGTACCATCTCAGTCAAGCGATCTGGTATTGTTTCACCCATCAGTTTATAGTTTTATAGTGTTCTAATAACATTCTAAATTTTCTTACCTGGAAACGTTAAAAGTGAAGAGTTGCTAACGGAACAGATATACCAAATGTAGATTAACGTATTACTTCTGTTTGCTGAATGCTGAAAAGTGTGTTTTGTTCTTGAATCAATTATTATTGACATGGACGTTTTGGACAACCAAAAATGCCATCCATCGTGTGAGATTGCGTTTCTCATATTTGAGCTTGTCAGTAAGTTCCTACCATCCGCAGTTTCATGGCCAAATGTGTTTTTCAAGTATTAGTCTCATTTTATTACTGATTGAATTTGAAACATTTTTTTTTAAAATAAAGGATCAAGCTATTCATAGAGATAAAGAGAAATTACTCTCTTTAGAATATAATATAAGTTATTATTAACTAATTTATATTTTAAAAAAGTGATTAAAATCTTAATTTTATAAAAATTTTCATATCTTTCCAATCATATTCTTGGGTGGGATAAATATAACATCTAACTTATTTAAAACACTTTCATTAATTATGTGAGTGGAATATAATAAAATAAGAGTATAATTTTAAAAAAAAATATAAAGCCTACCCTGTATTTTATATAAAATATGATGGACTAATCAGGCCATCTAGAAAAGATCTTATATTATAATTTGGAGGGAGTAAATAGCAAGGGCTGTAATTTAATGTCCTAATTAAACAATAAAACCCCTACTAATTAAAGAAATATTAGCAGTAACTTGAAAAAAAGAAGCAAAAGAAGTCAGAACTCAGAAGCCACTGAACATATCTGTCAAATAAATCTTTTCCTGGGCCAATCTGTTAGAGATCAGAGAGTCCCTCTTTTTTTTTTTTTTGGGTACAATGAGATCAAAAAGTCTTTTCTTACAACATGCAATGTCAACAATATGATCTAAAGTGTTTTCCACAGTGAATTGATTATTTATCAGTTTAAAAATTATTTTAAATAACTTTTAAAAATAATCTAACATGTGAAAAATAATATTATAAAAACACAAAATACATGAAGATAATACAAATTTTTAAAATAAATAATAATAAATTATTTTTTTATAAATAAAGATTTAACAAGTATCATAAAATCTAAAAATAATTAAAACAATAATAAATTTTTATTATTACAATAAAATAAAAAATAATATTTTTTATAATATAAATATTTTTATAAAATCTTTGAACTATCTAAAAATAATTTAATTGTTAATCTTAAATAAACAGATGCAAAATATACAATATTTAATATTTTTCTGGATAAGCTAATTGGTTTCCAAAAGTGTATTCATGGATCTCGATCTTCTCGGCGGGCAAATTCTCTACATCCCTCAACAATTAAATTTGGTCCATTCAGGTGGAGAATTTGTTATTAAACAGTAATATATATATATATATATATATATATATATTGAGATATCATGTATAGGAAAAAATATGCCAGGTTTCAGTCAAATTTTGAGTAAACAACTTAGCCTATTTATAAAAGTAAGCCTAATTATAAATTTAAGTATGATTTTTTTGTTAAAACAGATCCTGTCAAAATTTAAACATGACAGGTCTTCCAAAGCTTATTTACTTATTTTAATTTAATCAACTTTTTTGTTAAATAAGGTTGGCCTTGCCTGTAGGGACATACAACCTGTCTTATTTAAATTTTAGTCTAATCTCTTTAACAAAAAGACCATACTTAAATTTATAATTAAGTCTATTTATATAAATAGGCTAAGCTTATTTATTCAAAATCTGACTTAATCTTACTTATTTTTATTCATAAAAGATATTTCAAAAAATATATATTTTTATTAGGAAAAGCATAATTTTTTATCCTTATAGTTTCACTGGGTTTTACTTTTAATTCCTATAGTTTTTTTTTTTCAGTGTTTTCAGTCCCTATAATTTCAAAAAAATTGGATAACATTTATTATTTTAAAAATATTGAAAAAAATGAAACTATAAGACCTAAAAAATAAATGTCACCCAATCTTTCTAAAACTATAAGAAATGAAAACACTTGAAAAAAAAGCTACAAGGACTAAAAATAAAATTTAATGAAACTATAGAGGCCAAATATTATGCTTTATCTTTTTATTATTAGAAAGTAAATTGTTCACATAGATTTTTAATAGCTATGTGATGTGTGTATTGATTGAATTTTGACCATTTGAATCGATTAGATTTGGTTGTTGAGGGACATTGAAAATTTCTCCACTGAGAGGATTTGGTTGCATGTATTCATCTTCCTTTTCTTTCTGAGGGAAAAAGGGAAAATAGCAACCAAGAACCTCAGTAGTAAATTAACATTAGTTAAGGACCAATTGACTCCAAAATTGCAATACAACCTCTTGGTTCTTGATTGATATTAATTTGTGAGGTTAAAAGGCCAAATTGCCTCTTAAATTTTAAAAAAGAAACATCCCATTATTACAAGTGCTGATTATCAAACCACCATCGAACCCCTGCCAGCGGTGAGGTCACAAGAGCCCCTATTGCTAAAAGCCAGTCATTGAAGCTTCGATGTCAATGATATTTTTATTCAAAAAATAATTGGTTTAGGTGGCCAAAAGAGAATTTGATCCCATGACCCCTAGCCACCTAAAAGACTTGGTACCCTTTAATTATATATAGCATATATATATATATATATATATATATAAGTAATAAACCAAGCTTTTAACCATTCCCATATTATAACATAACAGTGTGTTATTAATTCCTAAATGGAACTTGTTATTTTACAAATGTTACTCGTTAATTTGACATGGACAATTAAAAATTAAGAGTTTTAAAATTTAATGCATTTTATTTGTTAAAAATTTGAATGTGTTATTGTTAATCACAAATTGGTTGTTATTAAAACCTGAATCAATACTTGTTAATGAAGGATTAGCAAGTACAATGAAGCTCATCCTATTAATTTTTTTAACTTGTAAAAATTAAAATAGATTGTTGTTAATTTTGAATGAATTATTGTGAAAACATAAATATACACTTATTGATAAAGGACTAACACATATAATTAAGCCCATCTTATCTATTTTTCTAGCTTGTTAAAGCTTAAATGGAGTGTTATTAATTTAGAATGAATTGTTGTTAAAACCTGTATATATGCTTGTAGTTGATGATTAAAAGCACAGATCTAATGGACTGTTGCTTTTTTAGATTATTAAATCCCGAATAGACTGTTATTAATTTAGAATTAGTTATTATTAAAACCTTTAAATGGAATCTTATTGATGAAAGATTAATGCATACAATTATGTTCATTTTATATGCTTTTTTAGTTTGTTAAAGCCCAAATGGACTGTAATTAATTTAGAATGGGTTGTTGTCATTCTAAACTCCTATTATGTCAAATCTTACATCAATCTTTTTATAATTTGATTGGCCCATCGGCTACACCGAATAGGACTAAATTGTTGGCGACGACTAGGACTGAATGACCGACACCAATGGGGATAGGATGTCCAACTTCTATCAGGACTGAATTACAGGTGCTAACAAGATTGAACTTGTGATTTCCACCTAGACTGAATTGCCGATGCCTATTGAGATCAAATGATAGACTTCCATTAAGATTATACTACAGGAGATGATTGGGACCAGATGATCGACTTTTACTGGGACCAAATCACTAACGTCAATTGGGACTGGAGTGCAGGCAGAAAATAATTAATAGCCCTATTTCGATCATCGTTAGTAGTCAGGTCTTGGTAGAGGTTATTGGTCTAGTCTTGGTTAAAGTCATTGAACTCGATCACGGTAGGATCCAGCTGTTCGATCCTGGTCACAAGTGACTGTCTAATCCTACTCTGCACCTATGGTCTTGTCCTGGTCAACACCGACAATCTTGTCTCAATTAGCGCCTACAATTAGGTCTCTATAGAAGTTAATGGTTTGATCTTGGTTGTTGCTTGTACTTTGATTCCAATCGGCGGCGGCGGTTTGGTCCCTATGGAAGTTGACCATTTGGTCCCAATTGTTGCCTACTGTACGGTCTCGGTGGAAGTATGCCGTTCGATCTCAATAGGCGCCAAGGGTTTGATATCAGTGGAAGTTGATCATCTAAACCTCCAACTTTAATTAGGACTGGACCATCGATGTTGTTTGAGTTGTTTTTAAATTCAAACATGAAATTTGAAATTTAAAATTTTACCTAGATCCAAACAAAGGATTTTAATATTATAACTTGAAATTTTTTATATTATTCAAATCAAAAATTTAGAATCTATAAATTTTAAATGTGAGATTTCAAATCTAAATTTTCAACCCAAATTTACTAATCCAAATGCAATCTTATATTCTTTTGTGTGTCTGGAGCCATTATAAGTTGAGCATTATGTCTTTCCCCTTTCTTGTTGCTTGCTAATTACTTGTTTAACACTTTTATTATTCAACTTAATTCGATGGACCTCTTTTCCCCTTTGTTCCACATGCAATCAAAGAAACATGCCATATTATTGTTATTCATGGTTTGTGAAGAATCCAAATCACTATAAATTTTATATTTTACTATATTGATCTTCATTTTCGTACCTGGCTAATACATTTTTTATGTTTGTCTTTTTGTGCGCTCATCAGCAAGATGATTGGAACATCTTATAGAATTGCTTTGGGCCTTTCAGATAGAATGGCCACCATTAAAGAGAATGGAGCAGCGAGTTGATGTAAAACTGAAGATACTTGAGGCTTTTGGAGAATGTATATGACGTTTCATGAAGCTTCAATTCCTTTTGCCACAAAATTGTAGTTTCTATTTTTAAGTTGTTTGGGCTGGCCATGCCATGGAGGATTTCTTGAAACGTAATTAATCACATTTTCTATACGTTTTTCTTTGGTCTTTTCCAATAACGGACTTGCTGTTGGCTTGGCATTGAGAAAGGAATTTTTCTTTATTTCCAGGAGAAAGAAAGGGAAAATATGACTTTTAATCATGAATTTTTTCTTCAATTATTGACTCAATCTTTGAAATTTGAATTTTAAATTAGGATAATTTAGTATTTATACTTTCTTGACTTGAAATAATTCAATTTTATAATTTTTTGACTTGGTATAAGTTAGTCTCTACAATTTTTTACTTTAATGAACTATAAAAATTGAGTTGTATTGAATTAAAATTTAAAAACTAAGTTAAGAATTGAGAGAAAGTTTATGAATTAAAAATTATATTATCTTAAAAAGAAGATATAATTATATATTATAATTATTATTTAATAATTAATGAATAGTAATTATCTTTTACTGTTGTTAGTAAATAATATAAAATGAGGGAAAACACAGCATTTATATTTAGAAGTCCAAGTTAAATTTAGCAGTCAAATTTACAAGTTCTAAGTTAAATAATAATTTAGCAAACGTTTTCGTTGCTAGCAATGGCAGCACCTCCGACACCGGACACTGGTGCCGCCGTTGCCGGTGATTTTCCAACGACTTCTTCGGTGGTTAAGAGAATTTGTCATTCCAATAATCAGGTTTTGCTTGAAAATCTGTCCCAAATATTTTGATAAATGTGCATGAACATGGCCCCAGAAAAACCTAAATCAAGCAAATTGTTTTTTTTTTATTTAAAATCTTGAATAAAATGTGCGTTGCCTGTTTTTTTTATTTATCCCATAAATCTTGGAAAGGATATTTTAGTTGGACATTTTTTCAGGGCAAGATGTATATTGTTAATCTTATACACTTAATATAATTTTATTCAATTAAATCAAGATATGTAAATTTTAGTGTGTCAACACCATACATATTAAAAATATAACAACTTATTTTATTTTAATTTTTTTGGTGCATATAAATAACATACGAGTGTATAATCCTGTTAGAAAAATGTCCACATTAATATTTAATCTTATTTCAAATAGAATTTTCTTAAATAAAAAAAATATCTACAAGCAATGAACAATGTATCAATAAAAATTTATTTTATCTTCATTCAAATTATTTTAAAATTTATTACCTATTAAGAATATAAAAAAATAATTGCTTTCTTTTTTGCTTTGCTTTTTGCTTCCTTTGTATGAAAAAAGAATATAAAAAATAATTTATTATCTCATGATATGTTATCATTACATGAATTAAAATTCAAACAACAATTTACAAATTAAATTCTGGATGATAACTTAATTTATTTCAAAATTTGTTATCAGTGTGTGTTAAAAAGTTAAATAATATATGTTTCATCTCAAAATTTATTACCTCAGGCGTCTCGTGTTTAGTCAGGGTCAAGATGTGCTTGACCAGTTGATCTTGACTACGACCGACACGTTTGCTCAAGGCGAGGTCCGGTTACTTAATTATATTAAACAAATTTATTTATTTAATAAAAAAACAAAACAAACTAGAAATGATAAAATTTAGACAACTATTCAGGTACATAACTATTCATTATATTATACTTTCTCATATATGTCGATGATATTGAGATTCATTGACGATGATATATATATATATATATATATACTGATGCTTAATTGATTCCTCATTTGATTTCTGTCAAAGTCCAAGTGACTGCTAAAAATGAATTTTAGTGTGCTCCGTATCTAAATAATAGTATGGTTTATTATGTATAGGTTAAATAAATATTTTAAAGAAAACATGACAAATAAATCCTTAAAAATAGATAAATTATAAAATATTATCACAATATGAGATAATTATTATAAAGTTCTTGGGGACTTATTTAACATAATTTCTTATAAAATTATATTTTTAACCTTAAACAAAATAATAAAAAGCATAGCTACTAATATTGAAATTAAAGTTATTAATATAGGAAGCATAGTTATAACTGCATAACTAAATTGAAGTTATAATCAACTCTATTGTTAATATTTAAATTAAAGTTGTTAATCATTAAATTGAAATTGTTAATTTAAAAAACATGTTTGTTATCACATGACTAAACATGAGTAAATTAAAGTTATGATCAATTATATTATTAATATTTAAACTGAATTTGTTAATTACTGAGATAAAGTTATATAATTAAATTAATAACTATGCTTCCTATATTAATAACTTTTCTTTTGATATTGATAATATCACTTTATGTATTAACAAGTTTCTATTATTTTGCTTAGGATTAGAAACATAATATTGTCAGTCAAAACAAAAAAAGAAACATAATTTTGCAAAAAAATGTTAAATAAGTTTTTAAAATCTTCATGGTAATTATCACATTTTGTGGTGTTTATTTACCATTTAATTATTTCGAGACTATTTATTTGTCATCTTTCCTGTTTACTAAGAGAATCTACACACACCTACACACACAATATTTCTACGTCAAAAATGAATTTTACTGTGCTGGTAATACGTGAGTTGGATTTTTGTCCCTTTATGTGTGTGTGTGTGTGTGTGTGTGTGTGTGATACACTGACAACCAAGCAATATGCGGGTTTCAGTTTAATGTTCCTTTTTCTTTACTTACTTTTCGATCGTGATTCTGCCTGTAAGTGTGGCTGTGTAATTTTAATGTTCCCTTTTCAGTTTTCTCATCAAGCGCCCCTTATCACTCATTGTATTGTTTCTAATCGTCTCTTGCTCCCCAATTTCTCTGCTTCTCGCAATATGCGGGTTTCCCATTCTCTCCCTACCTTTCTCTCTTTTTCTGCGGATGCCACTTTTGCTGTGTTGGAAGGAATGCTTCACTGATCTTTGATTTATCGGAGCAGAAGCTTGTGACAACTCTGCACAGATTTCTCTCCTGTTTTCAAGGTGGTGACTTCTGAGTCAGACTCGGAGTTTGACTGGTATTCTGGTAAGCTTCTTGCTTTCCCACCTCTTTCAATGCTTTTCTTTCATGCAACGTGTCTATCATTTTCGTCTGAATCGGCTGTGCTTCTAGAATCGTGCGCTGCACTAAACGCTCCCTTGGACTTTGATTTTCTGCAATCTTTGATATCTACTTCCAAGGAAGGTGATGTACCCTTCGTATTTGGATGTGAAGGTGAAGCTTGCAAGACAATATCCTTAGTGAAGAACCAAGGAATGAGCCCAACCCGTTCCTCTCTACTTCTGTGAATTTCATTCTCTCTCTATTGGTACATTTCAAGGGCTTTCTATTTTTCCCAGGAAGTAAACTATTTTATACTTTGCCATAGGAATATTCTGTCCTCTTTATGCGCTTAATTTTCTTGTTCCTCTCTGGAATAAATACATACTTTCCCGCTGCCGCACTATTCATACAATCACGTATGATGTATTTTATAGTGAATTGATGATTCTACTTCTTTTGACCAAGATCAACAACTTTGATATTCTGTGTTATTAGCAAACTAGATTGGAGAAGTTCCAGAATTTTTTTGGGTTGTGTATTCATAATAATAAATCGTCCTGTCAAAATGCAGGGGAGGAAGTTGTTGAGATGTTCAATGGTTCGCTTTCGGATTGATCATAGTGCTGGAAATAAGTATAATGGTTGCGATAATTCTCATTATTTTCCCAGTCGCGCTGAAGGGGTATTAAGAGAAAGTGAGCTAAGTAGCAAGGTCTCTCATTTGAACAAATCAAATGGTTATAATCATGGGGGGCCTTTTAGACAACGACTTTTGGTGGTGGCCAACAGGCTGCCAGTCTCCGCAGTTAGGACAAGTGAAGGCTCGTGGTCCATGGAGATGAGTGCTGGTGGTCTTGTGACTGCTCTTCTAGGTTGGTATTGATTACGCTGCTATTCATTCATTTTTTCTTTCATTTATACTTTTCTTGTTACATCAAATTTCTAAGGGGCTGTATATCCTTTCAAACATTTGTATATGATATACTGTTGTTTTTCTAATCATAGATATATCGTTATTGGTTTAGAAAAGTGGGTTTCAGAGAACATGATCGTTACCCTTGGGTCTAAACTTGGTCTCTTGATATAGAAAAAGTTATCTAACATGACTGCATATATTGACAAAGGTCTCAAGGAGTTTGAGGCAATTTGGATAGGTTGGGCTGGTGTCAATGTGTCGGATGAGATTGGACAGAAGACGCTTGCTAAAGCTTTGGCTGAAAAGGTACGAAGTCTTATATCTCTTGAATAAATTATGAGATTTTCAAAATGCAATACACGGTCATGTATTTATGTATTTTCATCATTAGATGATACAGAATTTGCGGTGAAGGTTTTTATAAATTTTCAGATTCTTCTTTTGCTTGAAACCTATATTGCAGAGGTGCATTCCGGTATTTCTTGATGAAGAGATTGTTCATCAATATTATAATGGTTACTGCAACAACATCTTGTGGCCCCTTCTACATTACCTTGGACTTCCACAAGAAGATCGCCTTGCCACCACAAAGAATTTCCAATCTCAGTTTGAAGCGTATAAGAAAGCAAATCAAATGTTTGCTGATGTTGTGAAAAAGCATTATCAGGAGGGTGATGTTGTTTGGTGCCATGATTACCATCTCATGTTTCTTCCAAAATTCCTAAAGGATTATGACAGAAACATGAAAGTTGGCTGGTTTCTCCATACACCATTTCCATCTTCGGAAATTCATAGGATGCTGCCATCTAGATCAGAGCTCCTGCATTCTGTTATTGCAGCTGATTTAGTTGCGTAAGTTCCAGCTTGCTCCTCCATTTAGGCATAAGGTTTTTTTATAATTACTATCATTCCTCTCATTCTGTTTGGTTCCCTATCATACTTAAATGACGAGACCCTTTGAGAATTTCAGAGATCACAATGCTTTGTATCAAGCTCTGCCTTCTTTTCATTAACCATGAACTTTGCAAATGATGCATATTGTTTTTGTTTGACATTTTCTCTTGTTTTCATTTCTTCTGTTTACCTTGAACCCTTTCATCTCCTATGGTTACCCATTAATGATTTTTAAGAGTTTCCTTCCATTAATCTGTATGTGGTTTTATTATTGTTATTTTTCTGTCTTTCCTTTCTTTTGTTTCTTACATGCACAAGTGCATTTTTTTTCTAGCAGTTTTCACACCTATGATTATGCACGGCACTTTGTTAGCGCTTGTACTCGCATCCTTGGGCTTGAGGGTACACCTAAAGGGGTTGAGGATCAAGGGAGGTTGACTCGAGTTACTGCAGTAAGTAATCAATTGTGCTCATTGCTATGCGTGTTATTTTACATAACGTATTAAACTTTTCACTTCAAGCTTTACCTGTGAAAAGGAAAATAAGAAAAGGAAAAAGAGAAAATTTAACACTTAGCTTTAGTTTTGACATGATATAATGATGAATTTAAATATAGAACCACTTATTTGCTTCTTTTTCCCTTGAATGTTAGTTTCCAATTGGGATAGACTCAGATCGATTCGTACGTGCACTTGAGCTTCCTCAAGTTAAGGATAGCATCAAAGAATTCGAAGAAAGATTTAGAGGCAGAAAGGTGCACCTTTTACTTCGTGTCAGCGGCTTTCAGTAATTTTTCTCCTGAAAAAGCCACTTTCTAATTTATGGTTTTTCCCCTATAAATGAGTGGTATGACATATGATTATATTTTTTTTCTATTTTTTGTATTTGATTTATATCTTTGACATGATTTATTAATTAGCATTTTTCTGACATGTCAGGTAATGTTAGGCGTTGATCGCCTTGATATGATTAAGGGAATTCCTCAGAAAATTCTAGCATTTGAAAAATTTCTGGAAGAGAATGCCTATTGGCGTGATAAAGTAGTTTTGGTTCAAATTGCTGTGCCAACAAGAACAGATGTTCTTGAATGTATGATACTTACATTACTTTGTCATGTTCTTGTGGCTTCTAAAGTATAACATTATTCAAAGTAGGCTTCTGCTATGATGTTTCTTCACTTATTGCACTGGAAGATGGAGTATTTTCCTATGCTGCCCTGAACTATTGAAATTGTAATTTTGTTTTAGAACTAAGTCAACACGCCTTTTTGATGAGTTTGAAACAGAAAACAAAGTTGAAATTCACATACTGAAATGAGTACGGTGCTATACTTCAACTCATTTGTTTGCAAGCATGTAATACTGAATGTGGTGGAATGTAAATATATTTAAAGATTGCTGTTCTAGGAAAATGGTATTTTGATATTGCTTTTTTGTAGCACGTGGAACATGCATTATAAATTCATTTTATGAAGATTCATTGTATCAACAATATTCATTCTTATTGAAGATTCATAGTTAGTTGGTGTGACTTGTAAGAATGAAATACTGATATTTGTTCCTAACAAAAATGTTATTATTTTACAAGTATGAATACATGCATATTTTACATAAGGAAAAACTTATATACTTAAGGTGCTTGTTTCTAATTAAATCAAGACATATGGATCTTTTATAGATTATATATTCTATAACAAACTCTTGTTATTAATATCATTAATACATTAAAATCCAATTATCTTGATTTGATTGGATAAAGGTTTGTTAAGTATGTAAGGCTAGCTACCTATGTCTTTCCCTTTTACATAACCTCTATAAATCTCACTAGTGAGGTCTGAATGAGTGGCAATTATTTGTAATATATTACTGTAGATTCGGTGAAATCTCCCATTTTTTAGCTCTCTCTTTGTTCCTGAGAGACATGACTATATTGGGGGGGGGAACTTCTTGAACGTTGGGTTTACATTGATTTATTCCACTCTCTTCAAAGCACTATCACATCATTTTTGTTGTGGATCTTGAGTTCTAAATATATTTACATCTTCTGATGTCTGTCTTCTGGTAGTCTTTTTGAGGGAGCATGTTTCATTGGCCTGTCAAGTGTTTGCTTTTTTCCTCTCCTTTCTTTGGCCTTTTTCTCTTTTGAAGTAGGGTGCTATTTATGCTTTCAGAATTTTGATAGTCAACTTATTTCTTCCACTTTCACAGATCAAAAGCTTACAAGCCAGGTTCATGAAATTGTTGGTCGCATTAATGGAAGATTTGGAACACTGACTGCTGTTCCTGTACTTCACCTGGTGCAGTCTTAACACTGATACTCTGATAAAGATGACTATAATAATTACACATGATCACATGTTAAGGACATTCTTTTCTGCGAACTTTTACTTTAAATCTTGTTGGATGATCTGATTTACCTCATTCGTGTGACTTTATTAGCTTCTATCTTGATATCTATTTATACCAACACTTTATTTAAGATGGATGAGATGAGGAGAATGATTGGGAGGGATGCAATTTAGAAGTGAAGTTGATATTATCTTGTTTCAGCATAATTAATCTTTCAAAAAATTTAGATAATTTAACTATAAACTTGAAAGCATCTTAAATTGTGCAATTATCTGTCTTGACAAAGGACATTGTCAGCCTAAACCAGTTATGATTGATTCTCTATTTTATTATGTTTTCTTCATTTTTATTCCCCTCTTGTTTAAATTGCATGAAAATCATTTTCATTTTTCAAATAAGAAGACAAAAGCATTTTCTTCTTACCAAGTTTAATAAATTATTTCGGTTCCCTCAATATCTTTCCAAATAGACTAAAGAAATTTGGTAAACATGAGATGTTCTGCGGGACCTTTTGTCATGTAGGACGTGAACCTGGATGCAGCTTAGTTAGTTAGTGTCACGTTGTTTCAAAACGGCCCTAGTTGAGTCCTAAATTTTCTAAGATAACCAATCTTCATATTTTAAATGGCCAGATAAATATTTAAGATCAGTTTCTGGTTTGTGTGAGGTGGTTCTATTAGCAGAATAAGTGAAATTGAGTAATTAGAAATCATAGTAAAGCAATATGATTTTTTTATACAGAACATTCTTTGAAATGCCTGTTTTTGATAAATAAAAGCAATGATGGTAATAATTTGTTATTATATGACTTCTGTTTAGCAATTCTATGGCAATCTCCGAGTTTAATCTATGAGGAATTACGGATAGAAGAGAAGGAAATAGAATGATTGGGGAATAGATAATAGATAGACTTTCAAGTAAGAACACTGAGCTCATGAACTGTCATCTCATCCCTCCTTATTCTGTTATATGGCTACATAACAGTTGAACTCTAATTAACTAACTAATTCTCTTGACAACTATGTTATTAACTGTCAATATCAGAGTCAGCTACTTCTACACCACAATTAAGCAGTTGGCTTTGTAGAACACTTAGATAAGCTTCTTAATCATATATTGCAGGTTCAGTTCATACTTCTTAACTCTTATTTGGTGGAAGGATATCATTACTTTTTAGAGTATAAGATATTACACTTTTAACAGATGTGTGTAGCATCCAATTATTGACAAAAAAAGATGATAAAATCTTCCAAGTGGATTAGTCACCAGTCATTGGTAGGACTGATAACATAGTTCCATTTTTGCTTCACTTTTTGGTTTTTACCTTAGAATTTGAAACCCTTGCTCCCCTCTATCTCTCAAAATTAATGAATGAATCCTAGAATGACTAATGGTGGAGGGTTTATTCGTTGTTATGATCTTTTAATTTTAATCAGTACTGGTCTGTGATACTAGACACTTTTACCATATAACAGCACTTGTTGGTTCTGGGACTCATTGAAGACAATGCTTGATAACCTGATGCTTTTGTTCTGTCTACAGGATCGCTCTCTTGAGTTTCATAAACTATGTGCTTTGTATGCTGTAACTGGTAAACTTTCTGCACTTTCAGTTTATTTTGTTTAAACTGCACTTCCCTGTCAATGATCCTTTGATTTGGCTCTCACCATCTTAATGATTTGTCTATCCTGAACTATGACATCTTCCGAGTCTCTTCTCTTTTCAAATGGTCAATTGATCATTTGTGTGTGTGAAGTTAATATTTTGCGTCTTTTTAAACTGGAATTCTGTGTTTTGGAAACTTTATTTTGGGCATAAATTTCAATGCTATGTTTTATGAAAATCAAACTGGCCATTCTAGAAGTGTCAGTTTTATTTTTAGTCTCTGCCAGAAATTCTAGATAATGATCTATGTAGATTTTTGGTTTCTTTTTCCTATTTCCCCATTCCACCTATGTATGAATTGATAATGCAGACTCCAGCTCTTTTAAAACTTTCAGAAATTCCTCAGAGAAGTTACACTTTAGATTTGCTTCCCTGGCACCAAGTTTGTGACTTCTGATACAAGTTACCTTGTGACCAAAGAGTCTGATTGCTCTGTCGTAGAACTCATTAAAAAGAATTGGTGTTTGTTTCTGTGTTGATTTTTACCTTTATTTATGACTTCATATTTTTTTAATTGTAACTTTTCTTCTAATGTTTCACCATTTTCTTCTTTATAATTCTTAACCAGATGTAGCCCTTGTCACGTCTTTGAGGGATGGGATGAATCTTGTCAGTTATGAATATGTGGCCTGCCAGGAGAGGAAGAAGGGGGTACTCATTCTTAGCGAAGTAATTACATAAACCTCTCTGTGTATTTCTTCTTGGCTCAGGTTATGTTGATTTTGAATTATTGTTAGATGATGCAATCAGATGTTGGAAGATAGAAATTTCAAACTTGCTAGGATTCCTTATTAGAATGTTTTGACTATCATTATATCTTAAATCCATCCCTCAGTAAGCTATGTGACTGATTCAACCAGCGGCCATTGTTCTGAAACACTTGACAGACTTTTCAAATTTTGGGGAGAAAATGAAAAGAGGAATCTGGAAGAGGGAGAAACGGGGAAAAAAGAGGAAGGAAAAAATTGGGATAGAATGATACAAGCAACTGATGTTCAATTGGTTTGAATTGTGCAAAAAATTTACAGTAGTATTGGGCTATTTGTAGGGAACCCAAAATATAAGAAAAGTGAAAAAAAAAGGAGCCAGAAAATCAGAAAATACATTAAACTTAAATGTCTCTAAACTAGAGTTTCCTACTTCTACTGGATTTTATGATTTTCCATTAGCCATGCTACGTAACAGGCCTTCTAACTGGCACTGTTTTTTGTTAGTTTGTTACATGCTGTCATACCCAACACAATCAATGTATCAAATCACCAGTTAAACTGTTCAGATTTTCTATGTCCAGCCCCTTGCAACTCTGCACTTATTTTGTCTAAACTTTTTTCACCTGAAGCACCTTGGGTAGATGATGAAAATAGTGGCATTTTGTTTATCTTTGTTGATGTGATGATATTGGATGTGTGGCCATCATCTTGATTAATCAAAATGTGTCTCCTCTCTGGTCTATTTAAATTGCTTTTGGCATATCTCATTCATGCACCTAGATGTATTCACTGTTGATCTGGCACCTTAAACTTTTTATACTCCCTGTAGTTTGCTGGGGCTGCTCAGTCTCTAGGTGCTGGTGCAATTCTGGTTAACCCTTGGAACATCACAGAAGTTGCTGCTGCAATTGACCAGGCTCTGAATATGCCATCTGAGGAAAGAGAGAAGCGGCATGCACACAACTTCTCACATGTAAAAACCCACACTGCTCAGGAATGGGCAGGAACTCTTGTAAGGTACACATATAATGTAGAATAGTAAACTGAATACCTCTTTTGATGCATTGGAAGCTTAAGAATGCGTGAAAGGAAACTTCTTGGATCACTGTCTGAGGTTAGATTTTGACCATAATTCTGGTAGTCATTCTTAACTTTACATTCTTCTTAGTGCATGCTCCTCTACCCATTGTATATTTAGTAGTAGTAAAATCAAGTGATGCATATCGGATTTTAGTTCATATGAGAAGATAGAACAATTTCTTGGAACTTAGTTGTAGATTAATGCTGCTGTGAAGTATTTATCTTTTGAATACCTTTCAGTGAACTAAATGAAACTGTTGCTGAGCAACAACGAAGGACAAGACAAGCTCCAGCCCCACTTCCAACCAAGGATGCAGTGGAACATTATCTGCAGTCAACTAATCGATTGATCATTTTGGTATGCTGTCTGATCTCAAGGCCTGTGATTCTATAAATAGTTGTCCATCAAAAAAGAAATTCAGCTTTTTTTCTTCCTTGACTTTAATTTTTTTTTCCCTTAGTGTTCCCTTCTACCCACCAACTTGATTGTTTCCTGAATATGGTGAGAAGGGGGGGAGTTAGGGTGTCTCTTGACGGAAGGTGACATGTTGCTGCTAAGGCAATAATAACTGAAGGAAGCTACGAATATTTAATTAATATGTTATGTCAAAATTCATGTACCTTTGCATTCTTGTTTGTACATGTGGCAACACTGATGTTATAAGTAGAATTTCTCTCAGTAGTAGTTTTATATCACTGTCCAGCTTTCTATTATTTTGCAACCTTCAGAGCAGGACAATTAGCATTGAAAAACTTGGTGTTTTTAGTTTGCTAACCATTTTTCACTACAGAGAAATCATGAACTCTATACATTAGAAATTATATACATATGTGGAAGTGAATGTATGCATGTGAACGTGTGTGAGCACGCACGTGTGTGTATCATTTTTTTAATTTGGTGATGCACATTACAGGGATTCAATGGATGTTTAACTGAACCAGTCGGGAAAAAAGGTGGTCAGATTAAAGAAATGGAACTTAATGTGCATCCAGAATTAAAACAGCCATTGACAGAACTATGCAGTGACCCAAATACCACTATTATTGTTCTTAGTGGAAGTGATAGAATAGTCTTAGAGGAGGTAAATTGCCACACTTTTTCCCTAGTTGTTATGAACTGCTTTATTGCCCTTTTAACTTGCTACTATTTCAGAATTTTAGGGAGTATGACCTGTGGTTGGCCGCCGAGAATGGGATGTTTATACACCATGCAAAAGGAAAATGGATGTCAACAATGCCAGAGCTTCTGAATATGGAATGGGTTGATAGTGTGAAGGTTCATTAAGTTCCAGTTCTTGTCCTTTCCCTTCATGTTTCCAATGTACAATCCTGATCCTGTGTTTTCAGCATGTTATTGAGTACTTCACCGAAAGAACACCCCGGTCACATTTTGAAGAACGGGCAACATCAATCGTGTGGAATTACAAATATGCAGGTGCTTAAATTATCTTTCTGAAGATATTTTCTGGCTAAAGTGTGCTTTTGATCCTTTACATAAGTTTCAGTTTGGTCGCTTAATTTTATTATAAAGTATTTTTTCAGTTTTATAATTCTAGTATCGTTAGTTTCAAAAGATTACTTTTTGTATCAATCATTGTTATTTTAGAAAAGGAAAACATTACTTTGGATCTCTACACTTTGCTAGTGTTTTGCTATTGGTCTCTGTACTTTTTTTCAGTGTTTTAGGTCCCTGCACTTTTGTTTTTTATTGTTTTAGGTCCCTACATTTTGTTCATGGAGGGATCTAAAATAACGAAAAAAGTGTAGGAACTAATAGCAAAACGCGAGCAAAGTACAGAAATCCAAAATTAAGTTTTTCTTTTTAAAAAATTAAACTTAATATATTAACATTTGATAGTGTTTTGTCAATATTTAAATGATTGAAACTAAATGGTGCTAGGGTTAAATGACCAAAAAAAATACTTTATAAAGTTAAAAGATCAAAATGAAATTTTATATAAAATTAAAAAATTAGAGGTGCACTTTAGTCTTTTATTTATTTTCTTCATTACGATAGTTTCATATCCCCTTATGACAATTGCAGATGTTGAATTTGGAAGACTTCAAGCAAGGGACATGCTGCAGCATCTCTGGACAGGTCCAATCTCTAATGCACCAGTTGATGTCATTCATGGTAGCCGATCTGTTGAAATTCGTGCCGTTGGTGTAACAAAGGTGAACTGTTTCTTATAATAATTGACATTTCTCACTTGTGTCACCTGAATTCTTTTTTTGTTTTTTTGCTGGCATTAGTGTTTGCTTCAACATTATCTGTTTAATCAGGGAGCAGCTATGGACCGCATCCTAGGTCACATAGTACACTGTAAATCCATGACATCACCGTTTGATTATGTCCTGTGTATAGGACATTTTCTGGCAAAGGTGATTTATATTTTCATTTTATTCTTTCTGAACTATTTTCATTATCTTGTCATTCTATTTTATATGAGATTCTGTTTATAAATGCTACAAAGAACTAATTTTCCTGGAAGTTCTGTTTAATAAAATGATGGAATATACGGTACATTACTATATTTTCCTAGAAGTGGGGAACAAATAGAGAATTTGACTACCTGATGACTCTTCAATGTCCTGCAGCTGATAAAATTACATTTCTTTTTTTTGGATAATGAAACTTTTAGTCTGCTAAGTTTGCCTCACTATCGATTTAGTCCTTCAAGTTTAATTTTTATTGATTTGGTCTCTTACATTTTCTTAAATTATCTTGTTAGTTCTTTAAGTTTTTAAACACAAGTTAACTCTCAAATTAATCTAATGTGTAAAGTATATTGATAATTTGTCATGTATATGTAGTTATATGAGAATAAATTAGTTCTCAAGTTAGTTTAATTTTTATTAATCTAGTCATTTACGCTGCATTTTATTCTTTTGTTTGTTAAAATTTGAGTCTATTTTTTTCTTACCTAGATAATTATACTTCTTTTCATTAATCTACATGGCTATAATCAATATTTTGTTATCCATATTAGCAAAATTTAACAATGTTACCTCTTCTTAAAATAATAAGGACCAAATTAATAACGGATGCAAACTTTAAAGATTAAATTGATAAAAATTAAACTTGAAATTACTAAATCAATAATTGAGACAAAGTTGAGGGACTAAAAGTTTCATTCTTCCTTCTTTTTCCTTTAACCAATAAAGATACACAATGGAGCAACTTCATTTAATGCCATTGATTGTTGCAGGATGAAGATGTTTTTACCTTCTTCGAGCCGAGCTCTCCTTCTACTGATTCGGATCTTCCACGAGCAAAGGAGACTGACAGAGTTGAGTTTTGTGCTGAGAAGAGATTGCCATCGAAGACTCCAGCCAGTAAAAGTGGACCAAAGGCATCCCAAAGTAATTCACTAAGGCCAAAGTCAAATTCTGAGATCCGTGGTGTACCTTGGATTCCAAACCTTGGAACTGAAACAATTTCATGGGATATCCTAAACCTTAAGAAGGAGAATTACTTCTCATGTGCTGTCGGGCGAACTCAATCGACTGCTAGGTATATGCTTGGATCATCATCAGATGATGTTGTTGCTTTTCTGAAGAAACTGGCAGGCGCGTCTTTGAACTCTTTATCCTCCACTTAAAAAAAAAAAAAAAGCTTTTTGGCATTTTAAGGATGCTCTGAAGTAACCATGTCAACCCATTTTCCCAACCGAAGATGATACTGCGGAGCAACACACAGAAATGAGTGTAAGATCATGGATTTGTGTCTGTTTGATCATGACAAACTAGATCATATATGCTATGCTGATTAGTATGCTGATGTAGCAGAGAATTAAAAATCCTGCACATACTTGTCTTCTTTCTTCTTCTTTCTTCCAGTCCCATCCACATAAAATAGTAAAATGCTCTCTCCCATCCTTCATTAAGTCTCATTCTTTGTGTGTTTGTCCGGTCAAGCATTCTTAGGTCTGTAGTTATAATGTCAAAAAAGTGTTACAGCCTTCCAACAGGAAAGAAATAGGGGAAAAAGAAAACAAATAAATGATGCTGTCAATCTAAGAATATAGGTTTATGGGTCAATATTTTTGTTCTCATGCATCTCTATTTGATCCCTCCCATCTCAACAAATGAATCTTTTGACAATAACGTCACCCTAAAAGGTTACCTATAAGCGTATCCATCTCATGAAAAAACGTAGGTAGTAATATATAGAATAAAACTCACATGCAACAACTTTATTGATGGCAATCTATAACTATTTTTATAAACATTTTTAAAACCTAGAGGCATGTTCTAATTCTAGTGAATCTTTAGAATCTTACCTATTTTTCTTGTCTATAAAAAAATATGAATAAAATAGCAGATAAATACATGGGTTAGCTACTGATTTTTTTTTTTTAAAATGACCATAGCTATTGAGTTTACAAGAGCAACTCTTCTGGCTTATGATCTATGATGCACGTATCCCATACTTCAATATTTTCATTTTGAAAAAATATTATATGATACGTTTTTTATGTGTATATATATAATAATAAAAAAACATAAAAAATATAATTTTAATTTAGAAATTATCCAAAATAGCATACATATACAGTTATGTAAAATAATATCAAGCAAAACATAATCATTACTTGTAGTTTTATTCTATCTATACTAATTGCCTATTGCCTAGTCTCTACGGATAATTCCTCACCTAGGATTTACATGCTAAAAGATTATATTCATACATTTTTATAATTTAAAAAATGTAATTTTTATCTTCTTATATCTAAAACTTAATTTTTATGGAATGTAATTTTTAATTTTAAAAGAAAATCACAAAAATATATTATGAATAAAAAAATAATATCACAATATTTAACAAAATTTAATTTCTTAAAAGTAGTTGTGAAGTATTGATTTTAAAGTACTAACTTACAATTTAAAATTATTAGATACGTGTTGAAAATAAAAAAATTTTAAAATTTAAAAGTATTAATGAGTCTTAATATCGCACACGATACCAATACATGAAGCAATTTAAATCGATATTGATATGTGAAACAATTTAAAATATGCGTGCTTCATAGCTTGTGAGTCCTTGCTTTTCAAGCTTGAGGTTGTGCAAAACTTGATATATAAGATTCTTATCTCTTCCCACTTCAAAATTAGTTTCCAAATATTTCCCTGCTCTCGAGACAAATCTGTAATTTTTCTTTTTATAATTTTATTTTAAGATATTTTCAACATGTGAACAACGAGGATGGAGCGTGACGGAGAGAGTTGGGCCAAACTCGTTGCCAGTTTGTATGCTTTGAATTCAAAATTCAAAATTGTCGCTAATAATTGTGTGGCGGCACAGTCAACCGAAACAAAGAAGACAAACGACTCGTGGACTTCCCATGATCCAATGTGTACAAAACCCAACTTGCTCACAACTCACAACTAGCTAGAAAATACTGAGTCAAACACGCGGCAGACCGAGTTGCCAGCGAGTCATATAGAGTTTATGAGCTAAATATGATGTGGAGTGCAAAAGTTAATTGGCTTGCCTTGAAGGGGTAACCGGTCAACTCTGCAAGTTGACTCACGCGTTGCGGCAAATTATGAAATTAATTATGGTCAAACTTCTAAACATGCGACCAAAAGTAAGGTGTAAATACCTCTTAGCCAGACCAATTAAGCAACAATTTAATTTTAATTGAGTATAATATATTATAAAAATAATTGATTAAATGATAAATTTTAATTATAATTGATTATATTATAACGTAATCTATTTGGATACTATTTTTTAAAATTAATTTTAACAGAATTGAAGATGTTTGGATAATTTAATCAGAATTAATTTTAGTTATATAAATTATTATATAATTTAATTCTTAAATATCAAACATTAATTTTTAAGGATATAAAATTTGAATTTTATTAAAAAAAATTAAGAGAAGAGAGTTTGATTTTATTTTTATTTAATATTTTGTCTTTTTTTATAATTTTTTTGGATTTTTTTTTATAATTTTTTCCAACACTTTTGAACAACTTTTCCAAAGTTGGTCGTGAGAGCCTATGGAAAAACGCACATCTTAGCGCATAATTGATTTTTGACCTTTTTTGACTATTTGAATAAATTGACTCAAAAAATTGATTTTTGAGTAAAAAATTGATTATTTCTCTCATTCAAACATCACTAGGATTGATTTGAATAAGAAACTATGATGGGTTAAGTACAAGATCTCAATTTTTTTTTTGTAAAACAAAATATCAGATTTTAGTTTAGCTATGATTGTAATAAATGTCTTTAAAGAATTATTTTTAATTTTTGACTAGAAGAATTATTTTCAATTGAGTGTCTGAATTTGACTGGATAACATTAGATATCATATAATTGTATGAAAAGAAAATAAAGATCTTCCAGCCTAAGTTATGTACCTTGTAAACTAATTGTTGACTTGATTACTAAGCCTAGGTTCTTGAGTAAATGTGGAAGGTTGAAATCCTTAGGTCTCATCCGATAACTTCTTTGCCATATTTTGTGGACTATACTTTATATATTTCCAATACGTCTTTAATAGTTAATATGAAAAGAGAGTGGGAAAAAATGAATTGTCAAAATCACCTTTAACTTTTTGTTGCTTTCTATTTTTAAATCTTATCAAACATATTTTTTTTCATTTTTCTTTTTTTAATAACATCTTTTCATTTTATTCAATTCGTAATTCTATTTCCATTTACAGGCCTTCGATTTTAGAAACCAAACAAAATCTTGGGTTTTTTTTTTTTTTTGGCTTTTCTTTCTTTCTTTCTTTCTTTTGTTGCCAGAAGTGAAACCTTAAGTTAATAAACTAAGATAGATACGTATATTTTTTAAAAAAAATAATGAAATGATTTGAAATTTAATTATATAAAAATTAAGGAAATTTGAAATTTTAAAATTGAAGGATTTATCTTATTAATTATTGTAAAAATAATTATTGTTAAAGATTATACACACACACATATATAACAACCTTGGTTCGAATCACGTACTATTTGAGTTTAAAAAACTTTTCAATTTTTTTTTAAAAAGATCTAAATATGGGGCAAAAAAGAGTTGGCTCAAATGTACGCAATCTCCTAAAAATATGATACGAGTATTTATATAATCTTTATTGATTTAAGTCATGATTTTGTTTAATCTACAACAATCATATTGTATCCGGGGAAAAATCATTTCATACGAAACTAAACTTGCATATTCAAATTTTCCTTTTTCACATCCTTTCTTATATTTTTTATCTTTCTTTGGCATTATGCAACCAATTGATGGCTACGAAAAACTTAAATTTACGTTAATGTGCGTGAAAATGCCTTTACGGAGATTTAAAAAAAAAATCCTAAATAGCCAAAATAAGAAAGGGGAAAAATTATGTTTTTACTTTGTTAATCTATCCGTGTCAATTACCATTCTTCCTAGTTACACATTAAATTTACAGCATGTTCTAACCATTCAAAGTTAAATGAAATCAATCATACTGGCCCCAAAAAAAAAAAAAAAAAGAATCAATCATCAATATAAAATATGCAAGTGTATGGAGCCAAACTGTTCAATAAAGAGTTCATTTTATCATCTTGCACTCTCTAATTTTATCTTTAAAATATGTTTTATTATCACTCACTCATCATACTTCAATTACTTCAAAGTTACTAGAGGAAGCAACGGACAAAAAGAGAGTACCACAAAGCTCAATGATATGAAGTAAGAAATGTGGAAGGAAAATAAATACGCATTCATAATAATCCAGAAAGTAATGGATTTAAATACATCGCTACTTCACTTGCATCTTGCACTAGATCAATGTTCTAACGCATCAACTAGCTACTTAATGGAACAAGGAATTTAAATTACATCCCAATGCCAACGAAATACAAGAATGACCAACAAAATGGGATATATTATCAGGAACAAAAGAATTATAAATTAAAACAAGTTTGCAGAAAAACATAAAGCTATTTAGTGGTAGACAACACTGAATTAGGACTGACAGGTAGAAAGAACCATGATTATTAACCACTACACTGAGGGACTGCATATAACTACCAATGAAATGATGAATGAATCTGAATGCTATGGAATCTGACACCAACGCAGAGCAGGATAGTTCTGATGTATCTATACTGCTTAGTTTTTACCAGTTTTCTTGTTTGGCTCAAACACATACTTGATCAGTGATTCCTTTATGGAAAGCAACTCTGGGAATTCTTTCTTCAACTTCGATGCATCCATCTCGTTGTTGCTCCTGGGAGCAACTATCACTTTGGCTTGCTCCTCCAGGTTGAAGTTGGTCCACTTGAAGCTGGGATCAATGTAGTCTCTATACATCTCAAGGATCTCGTTGTGGCTGACAACACCGGGGTTTGTGAAGTTCCAGATGCCCCTTAAGTTTCGCTTTGCCATCTCGATGGAGATTGGCAGAAGTTCATCCAAGATAGTCATGCTGTTTGGAATGTTGACCACCTTGCTGTAGCGAGAGATCTTGGTGATGAAGTTGCGTGGGTTGTTCAGATCAGATGAGATTGGCATGCGAACCCTGAGAGTACAGACATTGTCATATTCTTTCAGGAGCTCTTCAACCTGAGGAAAAATTTCAAGGGTTACCATCAGGATTTCATAATAAAAGTATTGCTAAAGTTTATCGTGAACACAGACTTACCATGGCCTTAGTTTTGGAATAGTAAGAACCAGTGAAATTAGGCTTGTCTTCCTCCTTAAATCCAATGCCAGAACCCTCAGGATGTTCTGCATCATACTCAAATATACACCCAGTGGCATAGTTTATCATCAAGAGGTCATGCTCTCTGCAGATATCAGCCAATGTTAAAGTGCCAACAACATTGGTGCGGATGGTTTCTGTCTTATGAGATTCACACCAATCAACATTGGGTCTGCCAGTGACTCCTGCTGCAT